AAAAAAAAAAAAAAAAGTCAGAAGTCATGATACGACTTTGGAGACCAGGTCATAAAAGGCATAGCARTTCCTTTGTGGGGGGTGACGAATGACTCCAAACCACTTAGTTTGGGAAACCAAGTTAAATCTCTTAGTTTATGGTACTAAATATTACATGAAGACACTCAAGCAGCCTCTGGAGGATTCCGTGTGGTAAAGAAATGAGGCCTCCTGCCAACAGCCAGAAGAGTGTGCCATGGTGGTAGTTAACCCTCAGCCCCAGCCAAGCCTTCAGATGTCTGAGCCCCTGTTGACTGCAAACTCAAAAGGGTCCCTGAACTAGAAACAACCAGCTAAGCCACTGCCCAGTTTCAATACCACAGGAACTGCAAGATAATAAATGTTTGAAGTTTTAAGCTATTAATTTTGGGTAAAATTGTTACTCAGCAATAGATTACTAACACACTCTCTATTCTATTGTTCTGTTGCCCTTCTGGTAACAACTACCCATAGGTGCCACAGCTCTTTAGGGAGCTCAAGCCTGGGCTTAGAGGGATTGAGATGACTCTAATTCATATAATTTGTGGAACCTGTGAAGCATATACCCAGGCTTTAGTTACCAGAGAGTCTCATTCAATAGGTCTGGGATGGAGTCCAAACATCTGTATTTAACTAAATGGTTTTAAAAAACTATTCAAGGGTTTCTGAGGAATACTTTTGATTGAGAACCTTTGCTGCTTGATTGATTTATATATATATATATATATATGTGTGTGTGTGTGTGTGTGTGTGTGTGTGTGTATAATTTTTTAACTGTAAAAAGCCATAGGCCTCTCTATGTGTTCTGTCTTTGAGAACTGGCCTGGGAGAGTGCAATTCACCATTCAGCAAGTCTACCCAGGCCATTAAGGAAGTCTGGCAACCAACCCAACTCAATGATTTTTCTTATGAACCTCTAAGGCAGGTCTTCTCAAACCTGAATTGCATTAGGTTGACTGGAGGGAGATTGCAGAGCCCCACCCCCCAGGGGAACCAATAATGTTCATTTCTAATATTTCCAGTAAGTTCCCACATGATATGAAAGCTGCTGGTCTGTGKCCACACTTGGCAAACCAGTGCTAAAAAGGGTGGGACCGGGTAGTTAAACATTGCCTCTGACATAGTTCAGGATTCTCCTCACACTTCAGGCAACAACCACAATGTGTTCACCAGGTTTTTTGTCACTGTGTTTGTCTGACAAGAGCAACTCAGGGCCAGGAACAAGAAACAACCTTCTAGGGCCCACCCCAGGTGACTTGCTTCCTTCAGCCAGGGTCCACGTCTTACAGKTTCTGCCACCTCCAGATAATCCATTCAGCCCTGCATGTCTCAGTGGATGGAAACACTGATGAGGTTAGCACCCTCCTAATCCAGTCACTTCCCAGAGCTCCACTTCTGAGCATTGCTGCATTACAGACCAGGCCACCTGAGCCTTCAGATCCAAGCCATAACACAACAAATGAAAAAAAAAAAAAAAGTACCAGAGAATTACAGGGACAAAAGTAATCCATGGAGACAGAACGTCTAAGAATGATTATTTTGGAGGTTGGACCCTAGAACTGAAGGACAGAAGAGACTCCTGGGAAGCTATATTTATTATTTCTTAAGTAGTGGTTACATGAATATCCATTCAGGCTTTACACATACAATTTGTGAATTTTTTCATGTGCTATGTATTTAAAAATTAATAATAATGATAAATGCTGTCAAAATCTGCAAGAAAGGGCCTCCACATCACAAGACTGTAACTCTGTTTATAAGTCACCTTTCTCCTAGGACCATGCTGGCATCTCTAGAGACAATATGCTCTTTTTGTTTTTGCTGGCACCATGGTGTGTGTGTGTGTGTGTGTGTGTGTGTGTGTGTGTGTGAGAGAGAGAGAGAGAGAGAGAGAGAGAGAGAGAGAGAGAGAGAGAGAGCGCTGGGGAATGGCTGCTTCCTAAGTGTCATTTCTTTACAATTAAGTGCAGGTCTTTGTAAGAAAACCTTGTACATAAAATATTGGCATATTTTAAATTCCTGAATTAATTAATATTGATGGAATACTCTGAAAAGCAAGTTGATCCCTCTTTAATTCGTTTCGAAAATCCTGGCTTGTACTCTGCCATGCAACTTCACTGAAGAGTAATAATTTTGGAAGGAAAGAAAATTCCACCAAGATTTATTGCCCATTTCTTTGAAAAGTACCTGAGAAGCAAAAGGGTTTCTTCCATCTAGTTGAAGACCAATGACATCTACGGATTCCCTGTTTTATCGCTTAAAACTTACAGTCTCACTGAAGAGACTTCTTTTGCAAATTTCTTACCAAGAATGTTAATTGCTAAAACTCCTCTAGAGACATCCCACTTTCCAAATCATTCCTTTTTCTACAATTTAAGTTTATAACTTAAAAGGTTTACTCTCAAAGGTTCATTTCAAATGTTAATGAGGGCAGGTTGCTTGGGACTACTAACTTTCAGCTGATGTGCAAAACTGATTTTGCAACTCAGGAGCTAAGGAGGACACTATTGGGCATGATTGTTGAGGCTTATACTGGACTTCAGACCAAAGTGGAAGACAGTGGTTTGGCATCCTCAATTTAAAGCAGAGACATTTTAATGCAGAATTTGAATCCATTGGCTTTTGAGCCTACATTACAAGGGTCTGCACCCCAGCATCGCTAACTATGTGAGTTTGAGCAACTTTGAGCAAATTACTTCTTTTTCTCTCTTTCCAAACTTCAGCTTTTTCTTGTTAAGTAGGGTTAACACTATCAGACTATAGGGCTATTAGGAACATTAGATAGAATAACATAAAAGGATTTAAAACTTAACTTRGCACATAGTAAATTCTCAGGGAATCTTTGCATATTATTAAGGAATGGAGGAAATTAAAAAGTGGAAAATTTTAATCAGTTTTGAATTTCCTAATCCTCATATGTTTCTAATACAAACATGAATGAATAGATGATATTATTTCTGGCATATATTAAAGAATGAATAAGATATTTTTCCTCCCTATGATGAAAAGTGTCTTTCTCAAAATTATAGAGATGGAGAGCAGGTGAGTGACTGCCTAGGATTTGGGAGGGTGATGAGGAGGGGGACATGTGACTATATAGGAGTAGCTGGAGGAAGATCTTTGTGGCATTGGAATAGTTCTGAATCTTGATGTCAGTGTGCTTACCAAATATACRCAGGATAAAATGGAACAGAACTGCACACTCCTGTTATACCAATGTCAATTGCTAGTTTTGATATTATACTATAATATGTAAAATAAAACCACAAGGGGAAACTGGGTATAGGGCACGTGGGGATCTCCATACAATGAGCAACTCCACATTAATCTAGTATTACTTCAAATTAAGAAGTTACAAAGTACCCTTCTAGAATTTCCTTCTTTTACCACAATTATAGTAAGTAGCTATTTCACTCTGTATCTCAGATGATCCGGTTTGAGTTCTGGCATAAGCTTTGGTGCTTGGCTTAAAATACAATAATCTTAGTGCACTTTTACCTATTGTTACCCCTTCCTAGGATAATTAACTCTCTCGATACAGGAGTCCAAGGATTAAGTGGTAGTTAAGTGTACCACCAACATGGTTCCTAAAGATTACAACATTTGAACATTTTTTATTCCAAAATATTCTCAATTGATTAACACTGGGCAGTAGGATTAAACACGTGGCTAGATATTTTGTTCTCCTTCCTGCTGGTAACATCTGTGATGTATCTTACTAAATCCTCTGCGGATTGAATGAGTATCAGCTCACAGTTTGGAAGTCTTGATATGATACTTCTAGTAAACTGGATAAGAAGGATTAAGGGTAACAGATATCCTCAATTCAGGTGATCTGGTATTGCACAACACGTTCCCTGTACATACATAGATCATGTCTGGGCAATAGATAAACATTTGTGGATGAACAAGATGAGTGAATGAATGAATGGTGGGACCATGAAGGTAAATCATGAGAYGCTGACACAGTCTAAAAGGTCTAAAAGAGGAAAGAATTAGCTCATCTTTCTGAGACCTGGTCTGCCAGGGACCTTTCTAATCCTTCTTTCTCTTCTTCTCCAGGCAGCTTGAAATCCACTCTCCAGATGCTAAGCACACTGTGATACTAAGGAGCAAGGATTCAGCCACRGCTCAGGCCTGGTTTAGTGCCATTCATGCCAATGTTAGTGACCTGGTGAGCCGAGTGATTGCTGAGGTCAGAGAGCAGCTGGGGAAAACAGGCATTGCTGGAAGCCGAGAGATCAGGCACCTTGGCTGGCTTGCAGAAAAGGTAAGGAAAATGGCGCCCTCCATGGTTTTCCCTAACCTCTCAGTGCTTGTAACCACCTGTCTCCTTTCACAGTCTSATTATCTCTCTTGCAGTTTATGTAGATTTCTTCTCCATTCCAACAGACTGCATGCCTTACTGCACTATATAGTGAATTTGTCTTAATCAGCATTGATTTCCCCAATATATAAATATGTGGCAGCTGTCACAGGGTCACTAATTGTTGAATAGATGAATGAGTGAGYTGATGAAGAGTTTGATTTTTCATGGTGATATTGTGAAGGGCAGAGAAAGTAACCCAAACTCAAAAGAACTGTTGCCTTGAGCAAAGAAGTCAACATTTTTGCTACAAAGGTTTTATGTGGTTTTTGATGAGCATACTCATAAATGACACAGGACCTATAGGGATGAATGAATTACACATTTTTAAATGATTGCAATGATAGTAAAAGCAAGAATTTCTTGGGGCTGGGGATGTGGCTCAAGTGGTAGCACGCTCGCCTAGCATGTGTGAGGCATTGGGTTCGATTCTCAGCACCATGTAAAAATAAAATAAAGATATTGTGTCCACCTAAAAGTAAAATATAAAAAAATTTTTAAAAAATAATTTCTTAAGTAACTGCTGTGTGATGACTCATGTATTATCTTGTATTTTATTTGCATTTTTAAGCCAGACAGTTCTAAATGTCATTTTTGATGAGCACCTACTTTGTGTCAGGCAAATCCCAATTGATATCGTACAGTAATACGTAAAATATAACCACAAGAGGAAACCGGGAGTAGGGCACACGGGGCTCTCCGTACTGTTTGTGCAACTCCACATTAATCTAGAATTACTTCAAATTAATGAGAAGTGGTGTCTTTAAAACAAATGAGTGAGAAGTGGTGTCTTTAATGAAGAGATTGTCTGCATCTCAGAGGACAGCTGTGGGAAAGAACTTTGCATAAAGTTGTCATTGTCACTCTGACTTCTTTTCCCAAGGTATGTGATGTGTTGGTGATAGTAAAACTCTCTTTGTGCCATCTCTTGAGTGTTACCCCTGCTCTTCATTTCAAAGGATTGAACTTTTGCCATTGTCCTCACACCTGATTGCTGTCCCTTGAGTTTGACCTTGAGTGCTCAAGAACACTAGGCTTTGGGGACAGTTTGACCTCCCAGTGACTCACATTCTAATAGGTAGTAAATGGGGATAATGATTGTTGCAATAACAGTTTTCCTGCCAGTGAACCCTGTCATCTGAGAAGGCCCAGTGAAATGGCACTTGAAAATAATACTTAAACACGGCATTCGGCTGCCGTCCACCATTGTTCTTTGTTTGCACCAGTTCACGCATGGATCTGCGCCTCAGAGTTTAAAATACCGTGGGTCTTTTGGTTTGGCATTGTCCCATCTCTTACAGATTTTAGAGAACTAAAGAGATAACACAAGTGGTGGAAGCATCAGAATCATAAAAACAGCCCCCATTCAGCCTTCCATGAATGCAGTGTTAGGGCCCTGACTGCAAACAACACCATAAATCTGAATGATTGACACTTTTTTAAAAGGCCCATTCTCCAATACTCTCCACTTTCACTCTCCCCAAATACATGTTTTCATTGGGAGAAGGCCTTATAGTCAGTAATCTTACAGTTKCAAGTGACAAAAAGCTCAACTCAAGCAAAAGGGAGATGGACATATAGACTCTGATAACTAGGATGTCCAATTATGAGCTTCAGGCGTGCTGGGATGCAAGGATTCCAATACTAATATTAGGCACACCTCCATCTCTGTGTTCCCCGTCCACTTTATCTGTTTATTCCCAGTCAAGCCCTCTCTCCTTGGCCTGATAGCTCCAGGTTTATTTCTCCTATACCTTGTTATCTCCATGAGTGGAGGCCTCTGTGCTCCAGTTGTTCCCACACAGGTCCTGAATTGAAATCTAATTGGATTTACTGGATCATATGTGGAGCTCCAGTCAGTACCGAGAACAGCTTCACCTAAGTTCTGTGCACTGACAGATAAAGAGGTATGGTTCCTAAATGGAAAAATAGGGAGCTCTACAAGGAAAAGAGTGACCAGGTACAAGAGAGGCAAAGGCAACAGGGTTTCACAATGGAAGGACAGGGTAGAAACTGATTGTAACGAAGAATGTCTTCACTTGGTTAAGTTCCTGTGTGGACCTGTATGRTCCTATGAGTGAGATGTGCCACATCTTCAGGGTCCTGGCAGGAGATAGATAGGAAACCTAAAAGGKATGGCTAAGAAGGATTTAATGTGGGGATAGTGTATACAGTATAGCCAAGGTAAGGGGAATGAGTAGGAGATGGAGAAGAACCCCAGGGCTCACAGTGTGAGAGGCCACTACCAACAAAGCAAGGAGAAGGGCAATTCTTTAAAACTAATAAGCTCTGAGGCTCCTGAAAATGGCCTCACACTCCTAGCTATGGTGCCTTTCAACCCCTGGTCACTGCTCTCCTGGTGGTGTCTCCCAGTGGCTGAGGCTAACAGGAAGATGGAGGTAARGGAGCCCCAGTGATGTGCTCTGTTAAGGTGATTGAAACCCCCAGGACACAGATCAGGAGGGGAGAGGGCAGAATTTGGATCTGCAGGGGCACAGGGAGGCTGGCCAGCACACATGTTCTGGCAGCTTCCCAGTAGCTGAGATGGTCTCAACTCTTGCCTCATCTCTTTAAACACATAGTGTTTTTTGTTTGTTTGTTTTAGTTAATTAATTTATTAATTTTCCTGATTTGTTATGCATGACAGCAGAATGCATTTCAATTTAGAGTACACAAATGGAGCATAATTTTTCATTTCTATTGTTGTACAAAGTAGAGTCACACCATTCGTGTCTTCATACATGTACCTAGGGTGATGATGTCCATCTCATTCCACCATCTTTCCTACCCCCATGCCCCCTCCCTGCCCCTCCCTCCCCTTTGCCCTATCCAAAGTTCCTCCACTCCTCCCATGCTACCCCCTACTCCCATTATGGATCAGCATCCACTTATCAGAAAAAACATTCTGCCTTTGGTTTTGGGGGATTGGCTTACTTCACTTGTCATGATATTCTCCAACTCCATCCATTTACCAGAAAATGCCATGAGTTTATTTTCTTTCAATGCTGAGTAATATTCTCTTGTGTATATATACCACAGTTTCTTTATCCATTCATCTAGGAGGCCATCTAGGTCCATTCTACAGTTTAGCTATTGTGAATTGTGTTGCTATAAACATTGATGTGGCTGCATCACTGTAGAATGTTTTTAAGTCCTTTGGGTATAAACTGAGAAGTGGGATAGCTGGGTCAAATGGTGGTTCCATTTCAAGTTTTCTAAGGAATCTCCATACTGCTTTCCAGATTGGTTGCACCAATTTGCAGTCCCACCAGCAATGTATGAGTGTGCATTTTCCCCACATCCTCCCCAACACTTAATGTTGCTTGTATTCTTATTAACTGCCATTATGATTGGAGTGAGATGAAATCTTAGAGTAGTTCTGATTTTCATTTCTCTAATTGCTAGAGATGTTGAACACTATCTCCAGGATTTATAAAGAACTCAAAAAACTTAACACCAAACAAACAAACAAATCCAATCAAATCAATAAATGGGCTAATGAACAGAACAGCCACTTCTCAGAAGAAGATATACAATCAATCATCACAAACTGTGTTTAAAATTATTACTATTTGGATAGTTGAAAGACTGTAATGTATCATTCTTAGTGATATTGATAATTTTTCCAAAGGTTTAATTTTTTTACTTACCCCAAATCATTTGTAGACCCATTAGTAGACATTCCCGTAGAACAGTAATAAAGACATATAAAAAGTTCTTCCTGTTTTGGGAAAGTTATTGTCAGATGATGCATCATCATAGATGTCTCCTGAAGTATCTTATCTAACATCTCATAACAGCAGAATGGACTTATCAGGGCCATTATAGAAGCAAGAATATTCTTTATTGCCTTCATCTTTAAACTTCTCAAAGGATTTTCATAGATCAAATCCAAGGGAACAAATCCAATCTGGAAATTTTTTGAATAAATATTTAATATTGAATCCTGCTGTGGAGAAATATGAATGGTTTTTAGCCAAATGTTAAAATGAATGGAAAATCCTTAATACTGTGCTTTCATATATTATCACAAATATCAGCAAATTTGCTTGGTATTTGTAAAGATATAAAATGTGATCCTATATATATTCAGCTATAATTTACCYTAAATCGATGTCCTTTGTCTTTGCCTTGACTGTTAAACTTTGATTTTGTAGAGGAATAACAGTAGCTCTGTGGCAAGATTGTGCCTATTATACTTAATTTCAAGTCTTTGGAAGTGGGGTTTACATGAACAGCAATATCAACTTCCTTTTTAAAATCCTCTTCAGTGCAAATCCTAACACCTCCTTGACACTGCACCAGAGGAAAACTTATATTAGCATTTTTCTTGTCTGCAAGGTAGTCTGGGAAGTTGAAGAATGACTCCTGAGAAATGGCGAGGGTCCCAGGGACTCAGGAGAGTTTGCTGCACTCCCAGACAGAAGGACAATGAGAGAACAGCGCAGCCCACATTAGTACAACCCAGAGGAAGGGCAGAGGGCTGGCCCGAGACTGGTCTGCAGGGGGCGCTCATCTTAGGGAAGGCAATGTGGGCACCTGAGTTATGGAAGATCTTGAAAGCTGGACAGAATGGTTAAATTTGACTTGGTATGTGAGAGGAGCCTTCCTACACAAAATCAGAGAGAAAGGGACTTAATGGTGCTATATAACCCATAATTTTCTTCCTACAYATGAGAACTCTGGGCCCCAGAGAACGGAAATTGTTTTATCAACAGTCACATTCAAAATTAGGATGCAGAAATCTTTAGAAAGCAGGACAATGCTGTGATATTATATATATATATAATTTCTTAAAGAACCCCCTGCAATTCATCTACTACAGTCGCTTGATTTCTCCTTGAGCTCGAGGAACCTTTCTCTGGATTCTGCAGTGACAAGATTAGTGCAAACCTGGAATGGAG